AATATTGAAAGTGCCAAGGGCTGCCAAAAGAACCAATAGATCCGTTTTGGAAGAAGTACAGCCAGAATGCTCCTTGGAGGCCAAAATGGCCAAACTTCATCTCTCATACTTCAGAAATATTGTCAGGTGGGACTAGTCGCTGGAAAAGGACATCATGTTTGATAAGGTGGAGGGTCAGAGAAAAAGAGGAAGAACTGCAATGACATAGATTGGCCATGTGGCAGCATTGATGGGTTCAAGCGTAGCAACAGTAGTGAGGTTGACCCAGGATTGGGCAGTGTTTCGTTCAGCTGTGCATAAGGTCCCTATGAGTCACTACCAACTTCATGGCACCTAACAACAGTAACAACAGCAGTTTCTCTTCATTTTGAGTTATGCCCCACCAGCAAATGAAGGTCCAAGAGCTTTACTCCCATGGGCTTTACTCCAGTTGTGTCAGCACGGTCAACTCTACTTTGAGGAGGCAGCTATACCCCAGTTGCATTTTGAGTGACTTCCAACCTGAGGGGCTCATTTTCTGGCACTATATCGGACAGAGTTTCTCTGCTATTCATAAGGTTTTCCATGACTAAATATTCAGAAGTAGTTGTCACTCCTTTTTCATAGTCTGTCTGTCTGGAAGCTCATCTGAAATTTGTCCACCATGGGTGACCCTGCTGGTATTTAAAATACCAGTGTCATTGCTTCCAGAATCACAGCAACTCACAAGCCACCCCAGTACAACAAACTGACAGATGAGTGGTGGCTTGTGAGCTGTGCCTTTAAAGCCCCCATTTTAGGTAGCTAATGTCTAAGGTGCCTGTCCCTATCAACTCTGTGTATAGAGGGGATAGGATTGATCTTTGATTTGAAGACTTCTTCCCTTTCAGTTGGTATTTTGAGCTACAATATCCATAAGCATAGGTCAAGTTCAGCAAATTGTAGCAATATACATTTGCTTCCTTTACCAATTTTTTCAATCTTCCTTTTGTCGAGTTCAGATCATTGAAGTTAGGTCAAATGGGTACTATCTGCAAGTTTGGGCATTCTTGTGCATCTCCCTTATTTCACATCAGCTGGATGCTCTACCCTCAGCTCCAGCCTGCCGTGGTTATGATCTTGTCCATGGGAGACACCAGATTTCACCACTTCAAATCAATTGGCCCTTCCTCTTCTCTCGTTCAT